ATGTGTTGCATTACACTGAAAGAATTCTCAGTCGGCCTGTACGCTCCATGGGCCTGAGCCACGGTAGCTCTGTGGCCCATTTGCACTGATTTTGTTGGTACAAAGAGAGTGGAAACCAGCCACACCGAGCCCACCTTAGAGCGGAAACCAGCCACACCGAGCCCACCTTAGAGCCATCCCTGTCGGATGTAGTGCCCCTGTTTGTCATTATGTGATCTCCAGCTGACCCCAGATCTAGGAGAGAAAACCTCCTCACTGTTGTCTCTTCAATGAATTTGGTCCATGACTGTGACTCCTGGGTGCTATAATAATAGAAATAATTGATGATGATTGATAATATGCCTGCTGCACAAGAGCATGTGCATGCTGCCCCTGAGCGGTGTATTCACATTGCCCTCTAGTATGTGGGAAAGCAGCCCTAAAATATCCCTGTGGTTTGGTCTCCTAGTTGTGCTGGTCTACGGTCCACACTGCAAATCTGGGCTGTTTTAGTTCTTCCCAGTGCAGCTGCCCTGGGATAAGAGTCCCTCCAGAGGGTTACTGAAGTGAAAGCTACACGCTGGCTGCAGGCAGAGGGTGAACTAAGCTAATGGATTTAGATTGGGCATTGCAGCTGTGAAATTCCAACTCGTTCCAAGACACCAGTGGGACATGCAGTCCCCTGGAGGGTCTAAACTTGAGCTGAACTCTCGCTTCTTTTGTAATAAATGGGGATTCAATCCAACCATTGTGGCTTTGAAACCAAACCTGAGATCCCAGGAATGGGCAAACCTCTAGGAGCAAAGTTGGTTCCAAATTACACCAGTGGGCTTCTTTGTAAGGTTTTTTGCAGCCACTAAAAACCTACAAAGTTATAACCTGAGCTGTGTGTTACAAGGGGACTTGGTAAGCCAGTTCCTGACCCAACATTTCCATTAAGAACAAAACTTTCGAGAGTAGCAGCCATGTTAGTCTGTATCTGCAAAAAGAACTTTCCATAACCCTTACTCCAGCAGACCTCACTTGACACGGTATGAGCTCAGTGTAAAGGCGAGGAGGGCTGAGTTAAGGGGTCTCTGTTTCCTAAATTAGTCCTGACAGGTGTCTCTGCTATCCTGGCTCCAATATTGTCCTGCTGAATGGCGGTCATTAGGATAGTGTGATCACATCACATTAAGTCTAAACAGAACCCTTTCCCTAGTGATGTGCAGGTGTTGTGTCCAAACACCTGCATTTGAGCTCACTGAAACAGCAGCAGGAAGCTCTTCTTCAGAAGGAAGGAGCTTAATCTTTGGAGTATCTGACAATGGCTGGGATTCAGTGACTGCTAAAGGTGTTTTGTCTGCAGACTCCTAATGATCAACAAGTGCCTGTCCTGATGGAGGCAGTGTACTCTAGTGGCTAGAACACTTAGGAGATCTGGGTTTTGTTCCTGGCTCTGCCCTGGACCTGCTTGACCATCTTGAGCAAGTCCATTTCCCCCACTCTGTGCCTCAGTTTCCCCATCTGTAAAATGGGGATAATGACTTACCTCCTTTGTAAAGCACTTTGAGATCCACTGATGAAAAGCTGACCTAAGAGCTAGGTATTGCCATTTTTATCATCCATTTCTGATAGAATTCAGCAAAGGAACATTAACTGGCTCTTGTAGAAGCAATTGTTGTCACTGGTTATTTAAAGAAAACCAAATCCTCAAGGTAGAAACTTTCAACTATGCAAAAATCAGGCAATGAAAGTGCTTCTAGATCCAATTCATAACATTAGTGTAGGCTAATTTTGCCTACAGTGAGTGATTTTGTGGAAATTGGCCTCTTCAAGGCATTTGATGAGGACTGGATACTGAAAGTGATATGTGTGGGGACATAACTTGAAGATTTTCTATTTCACCAGAAAACCTCTTTATGTCTACTTCACTTCCTCTGAGCTCTTCCTTGTTTTAGATCCATTATGGGTGATTTGCTATGGCTTTAGGGGGGAAGTTGCCTCCCCCCCCCAACTTTTCATAGTCTATATTAGTGGTCTCCAAACTTTTTGGATTGCGCACCCCCAGGGCCAGCTCTAGGGAAGCAAAAAGAAAAAAAAAAAGAGAAGAGGTGCCGCCAAATATGAAGCGGAGAGAGCCAAGGTGCCGCCGAAGAATCAAAAGTCCGGGAGATCTGCTGCCACTATGCCAGCGGCACTCCTTCGGCAGCGCTCCTCCTGCCGTGCACCCCCAGGGATGGTCTTGCGCACCCCACTTTGGAGACCAATGGTCTATAGCAGTAGTTCTCAAACTTTTGTACTGGTGAAGCCTCTAAGTGCGACCCCCCCCACTTATAAATTAAAAACACTTTTTAATATATTTAACACCATTATAAATGCTGGAGGCAAAGCGGGGTTTGGGGAGGAGACTGACAGCTCGCAACCCCCCATGTTATAACCTCCTGACCCCCAGTTTGAGAACCCCTGGTCTATATGCCCCATTAGGTCTTCCACTCCACACACCCCGACTTTACAAAATATAAACTAATCACAGAGGATATCCTATATGCTGACACAACTTTGCCCTGCCCTGGAAATTTTTCTGAAATGAGGCCCCTGTGTAGATCCTGTCCTTTTTATGTTTTCCACACATAAGGAGTGACCATATAGTTTCAGTCTTAATTGCTTTTATTTTAGGCTCAACGAGAACAAAAGTAAAGTCTCCATAAGAGAATAGGTACAGCCTGTGTATGTTTTCTCTAGAACAGGCTGAGTCTGACTGGCAGTTTCCCCCAGAACATCAAAGCCTTCTAGAACTTTAAAGGCACAGAGCGGATAAAGCAAAATCATGTCTCCCTCGCTACATATACTGCAATACTCTCGGACAAAGCATGTGCTAAAATAGTAACAAGAGGACAATGCACTGGTTTTGAAATTATATGGTTCTACCATCTTTGTCTAAATAAGGGGTGGGGGGAAATCATTTGACCTAAAAAAACAAGGGGGGAAACCACATTGAATCCATCCCCAACGCTAAGCAAGAAAACAAACTGATTCTGAATTCAGGATCCTCTAATTCACAGAGGATTATCCATGTAATAAAATTAGTGCACAAAGGAGAAGGTGTTAAAGGGCCAAAAAAAGAAAATGTCCTGTACTGTACCCGACGGAACTGTTTGAATGGTCTCTCCACTCATTTTAAAGGGCTGAAACTCTGACCAATAAGAATCAGCTTCATTAAATATCAGCACTGGCTTCTGAAGGGGGTTACTCAGAGCACTTCTCTGCATGGCTCTAGCACCTAGAGTGCTCTTGCTGTTCACAGGTATTTTATACCAGTGCAGACAACTGGGCTCTGGGAATGCACTGCGGGTTCTGGACATGCTTCGGGAAATGCACCGAGCTTACTGATAGCTGGGGAGAGTTTTCCTGTTATGATGGATGTGCTAGGTTTTCAGTTAAAATTTACCAGCCCGAGATGATAACTTACAATAGAAACTCACTGTGTTAGTCAGGTGCTGTGGTGTGGGTAACGGGTGGGGAGCACTGACTTTTCAGTAGTGTTCACTGTAGCCTGAAGTCACAAATTAGCCCTGGAACAACTCTTTAGGTCACCTTTCTATAGTTTACATAGAGTAGCAGTCACTTCCTTGTGGGGGGACGACGGGGCCATGGGACACCGATCCCCGTACCTTGTCAGGCACACTGCTCCCAGGCAAGTGCTGTAGGTGCTTCAGCTACTGGATCACAATCAACATTCTGCCCACTGCCTCCAGCCACCACACTCCTGTCAGGGGCCCTTGCCCTGCTGACTCCATAATCCACTGCTTCCCAACTGCCAAGGAACCTCCCTGCACCCGGTTCCCTGTCTTCCTCCTGATTCCCCCTTAGCAGATTCATCACATTGCTCTCTGCTGACCTATTACTGTTCAGTACGTTCATTACAATAAATAGTAAAGACATACTGAAGTAGACCCACATCTTTCTGCCAGTGCATTTCTAAAATGTCCATCACTGTGGCAGCAGGGTGCCATAGTGTCTCGTCATTCGTCTTAAAATCATAAAATACATAACGTGGGGCACGTGAAACTACCTAGATACATAATAATCAAGCCTGAACCAGTGGGCTTTGTGACTAGTGCTCTGCATGGAGCCCTGAGTTCCACTTCCCATCCCATTTCTCTATCCCCATGAGCCAGGAGGGAATTGGAGGACTCTGGAATAGTGACATGGTTACCAAAACCTGGGCAAGAGGAGATGGGAGCAGCAATCAGGACCTCCAAAAGAGGGAGGGGGAAAGGTATATGAAGAAGATTTTTCATGTTGTCTCCACAGTCATCTTGATGTGTGACTCAGTCATGTTTTGTGTTATGCCTGACTCTCTGATCATGGGAACGCTGCATGCAAAGTATTCTCTTATATGCTTGAAAATTCCTTTGTTTGCCATGTTCTTTGTTAGGCCCCTTAGCAGCCTATAGGGATGGAGCAAGTTCTTTACTGTTAAGCCTTAAGTAGAGCAAGCTGGGGTAGGGAATAACATTTTTAGCCTTGGCTAATGACTAAAGAAAGGGTTAATCCTTCACTGCCCTATAAGCACTGGGCTCTGGCAAAGGGAATATCCCCTATCTCTTGAGCAAAATCCATCTGGACAATGAAGGAGCACCATGATGGTTTCTGAGATGAATCAAATCTATATCCAGTCCTTCTCAAGTGAAAAGAGAGTGTCCACAGCTGGGTGTGTTGTGCTGTGGCCTTGAAATGGAGGGTGAAGGGTGCTGGAGGCTCTGAAAGGAATGCTGAGGTTCCCGGAGTGACAATATGGAGGGCAGTGTGTGAATGAACACAAGTGGGCAGCGTTTCCCAGCAGCTATTCCCCTTCCATCACTGGGGACATTAACAAAGAAGCAAAGTGCAGGTGATAAGATTTGTTCTGAGTATCCACACACCTAATTAGAGAGAAATTGGACAAGCCTTTTTGGTGGATGTACTGAATGTGCTCTCTGTTCAATTAGTTTTTTCTCTTTCTAATTCTCCCAGCTTGAGCCTAAGCTGCAGAGAAAGGAAATCATCTCCCTGTCATTTCAATTGGGAGCTGGTAGAAAAGGAAAGTCACGCTGAGCAGCACTAGCTGCACAGTTGGTGAGCAGTTTCCTAGCTACGGGCTTTGCAGAAATACAAGTTAACAGCAACAAAATGATCAGTGCCTGAAACACTCTCAGAGGTTTCACTTCCCCCTTCCAAACCTGCTGAGTGTGATGTGGTCATGAAGTTCACCTAGGACTCTGGCTGTAATGAAGGTGGGGCTGAATCTCATATGCATTCCCCACAGCTCCTCTTCTGCTGTAGCCTATGTCTATGGGAGACCCCTTTTCACCAGGAAAAGAAAGACAGCATCTGCCAAGACTACAGTCAGCACCACATCGTGGATTGAGGACCCAACAGAAGCTCAAAATATTCCAGGTTAGCTCTACTAGGCCACATTTGCTGCATGCAACTCGGTTGTTTACCTTTGGCAGCTCTGTCCTGTCTAACTAGTTCCACTTGTATCCTTTTCCATGTTTCTTTGCCTGTAGACCACTACCAACTGCCTCCAGAACTTGTGCTTCTGATTATGTTTCTGTCTCACAGGCTGGAATAATTTCGGAAGGACTCTTAATTGACTTCGTAAACAATCCATTCCACCCAATCCAGTTCCTGGCCAAAGGAGTTTCCTATTCTGATCATTTGGTAAGGACAAAATGCTCTGTTGGTTTTGTATTATTATACACAGAAAAAGAATCCATCTACACACACACACACACACACACCCCATCTTACAAGCTTGTCTGTGACTTGTTAACACTAAATCAGTCCTTCTCCTTTGATCCTCCCAACTCGATCGAATCACAGAAGGATTAGGTCTACATCTAAGGTCAGGGCTAGAGCTAGGTGAACTGTATTAAACAGATTTTTGCCCTTTTGTCTCTGAACTGACTCTTTCGCTTTTTACAGATGCTTCCATATGCAGTATTTAGCAAATGGTTCACAGAAGCCTAGCTCAGCCAATGGGCAGCTGCTTGAATGTTATTGGCTGTGCCTACAGCTTCAGGTGTTCATTAGGCATAGTTTACTATTCCCACTTTGTGATTGGCCATCTAAATCACACTGGTATTGTTTCTGCTCCCTGACTGGATGTCTCCTAACCCCACAAAGAGCTTTCAAACTAACCGGGCTGTAATGTATTCTAGAGTCCATTCCCTGTCTATGAAGTCCAAGACAGGATTTAGGGGACCCTTTGGTGACATTAAGCAACACAGTCTGTATTGGTCAATCAGAATCTGCCTTTCCAGAGAAATCCACAGGCCCTGTCTGTGTCCAGAAGCCTCAATAAAGAATCCCCATTGTATTTACTGAAGCAGAGGGACACAACACGTGCAAATCCTTCCAGCACCAACAGTTGTGCAAATATACATTTAAATATGTCTTCAGGGCACGCTCTCTTGTGAGGTTTCTCATATCAATATTGGCAGCGTGCAGACAAAGGGTCACAAATACCATTTCCCAGCTCCAGCCAGGACCCAGGGAGTCCAATTTCACTAGTCCTGGCTGCCATTAAAAAAGCAGCTTAGGAGATCCTCAAAAGACAGTGAGTTTTGGATCTGTGCTCTGGTCTCAAGTGCTTTGGAGTGTAATGTCTGGGATATAAATAAAGCCCTTATTCCTCTGCAGAACTCATCTCTCAGATGCTGTGAGAACCAGTTCATATGTGCAGAAGGATATCATTCTGAGGTACGGTCATCCGAGCCAAAGGGATGGGTCACAAGTGTTTTGCCCGCACATGTTGACTGTGCATTCTCCCTGTGGGGGAGCGAGGAAGAGCAGTCTCTCAGACATCTGATGTCCCTGGGTGAAGAGCAGGGGGCGAACTGATCACACATTCTCAGATTAGGAAAGAGCTGGAAACTACAGACCACCTCGGTGTTCACACTATAATGGAATACAAGAGGCTTGCTTGATTCCTGCTGGGACTGATGCTTACACTTTGGACACTTCAGAACAAGTTAAGCCTTCAGGTATAGAACTGCTAGGGAAAGACTGTTAGAAAGGATATATAATACAAAGGCATGTCATTTTCACCAGTCCCATTGTTCTGGTTTCCAAGAAGGGCTTCATATTGGGAAATCAACCTCATACACTTCTCTAGCTCGAGTACAAGCATCTTGAGAGGGAGAGACAGGGCCAGCCCTAGGGAAAATGGTGCCCTGGGTGAACTTGTATTTTGGTGCCCCGGCCCCTGCTGCCTCCCCCACCCTGCATCCTCCCATCACTGCTGGCCCACGCTGCCTCCCTGGACTCCACACCCACACTATATCACACCCAGGCTCTGCTGCCTCCCTTCCCCCCATTGCCCCACATTCCCTTCCACAGCCTTGCACCCTAGGCCTGCCCCACTTCTTGCCTCTTGACTTTGGTGCCGCCCTGACCATGGTGCCCTGGGTGGATGCCCATGTCACCCACTCATAAGGCCGGCTGTGGGGAGAGATGGGAAGGAATAATCCATATGTCATAGGGCAAACTCCTGAGTCAGGAAATCCATGGATCACAGATTGCATTTATCACAGAATCCATATCTGACAGGAATCTCTACCACACAGACTGAATTCTCTAGGAGTGTGTCTGAGGAAGCTGTCACACAAATGTAAGGGGACTGTTGCCCCCTTACTAACATTCAGTGCGGTGTTTTGGTTGGCTAGCTCCCAGTATTAAAAGGGGAAGGGTCTATGGGAAATCAGGACCCTGAGATGGACAGTCTCCAGGAACAATGGGGAGAGGCCAATGCTCCAGGTCAACCTGAATGACAGGGCGAGCAGGCTAATCAGGGAGTCAGGAGGCCAGGGAGGTCCCATCCTCCATGTGAGCTGGAATTGCCTGGGTCAGACAGAGTGGGGCTGAGCTAAGGAGAAAGCAAGGGCCCAAGCTGAGCTGTGCAGCATGCAGAGAGAGCAGACCCTGGCCTGGGAGCAGAGCTGCAGCCCGAAAGCCAGAGGCACAGCCCAGAGAGAGCAGACTTGCCCTGGGAGCAGAGCTGCAGCAACCAGAGCCAGAGGGGCCAGAAAAGCAGCCCATGAAGCAGGTCAGTGCTGGGAGCAGAGTCACAGAAGCAGCCTGCAGAGCAGACCTGTCCTGGGAGCAGAGCTGCAGCAACCAGAGGAGCCAAAGAAGCAGCCCAGGGACCTGAAGGCAGAGAAGCAGCAGCAGTGCAGAGACAGAGTGGCGCAGCTGGGGCTGGAGCGGTCTGGAGCTGGGTGCGGTGAGCAATTGGGGAGAGCGAGGGGGACCCTGGATAGCAGGCCCAGCAGAGGGAGACGCCTCAGCCAAGGGGCTCTGCAGGCCAGGCTTGGATCATAACCTCGACAGGGCGGGGGAGACGCTGGGAAGAAGGGTCCTACCACTTAGAGCCTGAGAGCGTGTGGCCACCGCCAGAGCAAGTGTCCAACCCACAGCATCCCTGCAGCACAGCCAGGGCCTGAGAAGAAGGCCTGGGACTTGCAAGGAACAGACTGTGAACTGCCCGGACATTCCAGAGACACTGTTTGTGATGTTCCCTGCCACAGAGCGGGGTGATGTGTTTCTTTTAACCTTTCCCATTTTCCCTTATTCTTTTTAAAATTAATTGTTGATTAAATAGCTTGCATTTGCTTTAAATTGTATGTAATGGTAAGTGGGTCAGAGAAGTGCCCAGTGCAGAGAGAGAAACCCGGAGTGGGAACACCCTAGCCCCTGTCCTAGGTGACCACAGCAGGGTTGGGGGTTGAGCTCGCCAGGAATCCGGGGCCCAGCCTTGTTGGGGTTACGAGGACTCTGCCAGACAGGAAAGTGGAAGGCGAGTCCTCAAGGGCAGGGTGGCCACTGGGTAAAGGAAGTGGGAGCGAGGACTCAGATCCTTTCGCTAGCCCACTTCACCGGGGTAGTGCAGAAGCCAGGAAAGTTCCCCACAAGAGCGGGACTATTCCCCCGCTTACACAAAGATGACTGCTTACCTGATCCCAGATTTCTATATCATATAAGAACATAGGGGAGGAGAGTGTTGTTAGTCAGGGTTTCTGGGTTCTTTTTTAGTTCTGCCACTGATTTGGTGGCCCTTGGGCAAGTCCCTTCATCTCTTTGTGTCCTGATTTTCCCCTGTGTAAAAGACAAGTAATAATATCTATCTTTCCCAGATGGATGGCTACAATTCTTCTGTATAGGTTCTTATTCATGTTAGCAAAGCTCTTGGAGATCCTGAAATGCAAAGGGCTGTGCCAAAATTGTGTATTACTTATTAATTTACTGCATTTTCTATCACTTGACAGAAAAACAGTTCTATTAATACCATGTAAACATGGAGAGTTACAGCTAGCTGAAATATAGGAAACCTGCAGTATGGAGTGCAGACAGCAATCCCATTCCCATTACCTAAGCAACATGTGGTGTCATCACCAGGCAGGTTCTCTCAGGCATGAATAAATATTTATGCTTTGTTTCATCTTTAATGGAGACATTGGGTAATCGTTAAATGGCTTTTGCCTTCAAGGGAGGCTTAATTTCATTTTAATTTGAAACTTACTAAGCTGATGAATGGGAAAGACCAATGAAAAAGCAAAGAACTGTTTCATTACCATGCGGAAGAACTAAGATAGAGAAAAGGTTAAGAAGAATTATTTTCACCTGGCCTCCTATCTCCAGAGCCCTGGGAATGAAGTGGGGATTGGGGGAATAGCTAAAAGGAGGTGATGATGGAGTTCAGGTAATTCTTATGACACAGCCACTGCCATCAGACATAATGGGAAGCTGTGCACAGTGAGCCCATGATGAGCCAGTCCAGTGACCTAGCTAATAATGCTTTGCAATGCCATGTGAGTTAACCACTTCCAGCTAATAGTTCTGTCTCTTTTTGCCCTCAGGCCAGCAACAGATAAAAGTGGCCATGGAAGCAATGCAGGTTCTGTTCCTAGCCCAGCATTTCCATGCCCCAAATAGAGAGAACTGTAGATTGATTTTGCTCTGGCCTTTCTCACCCTACACCACCCTTCTCTTGGAGGTTTCTGCAAAGCCTTACCTGGGCCGAAGCGTTTTCCCTCCGCATGTTAACTTCTGGTTACTAAGCCTATGTGCTCCACCCCTCCCAAGTTCCGTTGTTGCTTTGCTTTGCTTGGACTGATGGTGAAGTAGGGACAGTATGCAGGATACAGCTGGTCTGCTTCAAGCAGCAGTTTCATGGTGACAACTTTTACCAGGCAAATGTCATCTGTCAGCTGCCATCTGCAAAGCAGGCCAGCGAAAGGTGTGATGCACTGTGCCTTGAATTTATTTTATCAAGATAAATTGGCTTCTAGTTTACTGTACTCAGAACTAATGACACGACCATGATTTGGAAGTGTCCATCGGCTATTGTGATCTGAGATGCGTGCTAAGTTGTTTCATGCAGCTTCACAGAAAGTCCATATCCATCTATTTTTTCTCAATGTGGGTAGGTTTGCTCTTCCATGAGGGTTTGTTAAGGGTCTTCTTTGCAGAGCTAACGTGGTGAAAACCTCGTAGGCAACATACCTCTGCCAGGCTGCTTTACGTCAGCTCTAGTGAAGCTACTGTAACGTGACCGTGCATGTTTGTTTTCACCATTCTCCTCCTGCTTGTGTCCAGGGCTGCACAAGGTTGTTCATCTTGCAATAATTTTGAAGACTCCGGACTTTGCAGGCATGGGACCACGCTTGAGAAGTGTGGTGGTGGGCTGGCAGGATGGGTAGGCATGGTGACTATGATGTTAGACCTGGATCTTCCCATGTCTAAGCAGGGTTTGACAGAGGACTGCAACTATCTGCTGAGGGACTCTGGGCCGGCTACAGAATGTTAGGCAATATTGTTTTCTAATTTTTGTTATTTACAAAATTCAGAGTGAATTTAGTACCCATGGAACTGAGAAATGGAAACAGCTGGCTAGAGCCAGGCATAGTATGTCAGGTGTGACAGAGGCTGGGATAGTGTAGAGAGGAATGATGGTTTAGTGGTGAGCGTGCTAGCATGGGGACTTGGGAAATCTAGGTTCATAGTCCCTGCTCTGCCACAGGGTGATATTGGGCAAATTGCTTAGTCTCTCTGCGCCCCAGTTCCCCATCTGTAAAATGTGATAATGGTACCTCTCAAGGGTTTTATGAAGATAAATACATTAGAGATTATGAGGCTCTCAGATACAATGGTAATAAGGTAATGGCCATAAAAGTACTGATAAGTGTTCTGCAAGTTTCTGCCCTACACAGTCCTGTCAATGCGTCTCTGCTGGGACCTATGGCGCTTGCTACTATTCTAGTCCGTGATTGCCATGCATCTGTCCTAATGCACCTCTATCCTGGCCTCCTGCTGTTCATGTCACTGGCCCCACACAGCTCGGCCAGTGCACCCAAGTCCTGATTTTAGCCACCCCTGTTCCAGTCCTGATGCTCTCTCCCCACCTGCACGAGTGTCAGACGGGGGACAAATCCCCACCCCATCTGGATTTTTACCTGCAATGTGGGTCCAGCCCTGCAAACCTCCAGGAGATGCTTTGCTTGAGATAGCTTTTGTTTATTAGGTTTTGGGTGACAGTGGGGATTATACTGTGCACAGTATGCTAATAGTATATTTAATTAACCAGTAGGATGCAAATTTGCCGGAGATGGAAATTTTTATTAAAAGACAATAGGATGATTCTTCATTTACACCATGACAGCATGTTCCACGAGGCAGAAAATAGCAAATCCAATCAGGTTTTCCTGTTAAATATTAGTTTTGAGGAACATTGTATTTAATCATTAACGGGTTGCTGAATCAATATGAATAATCTCAAGTGATTCCAAGCAGTAGGGGCAGGCTATGTTTACAAAGAGATGAATATTGATGTGGCCAACAGAAGTGCGAGTCAGCCTGCACAGCTAAGCCAGCTCCCTATACCATACCCATGTGGGGGGACTGATAAATAACAAGAGCCCCTAAGAATAAATAGCCTGGATAGGATGCCACATGAGAAATGCTGAATCATGAGAGCCGGACTGCAGAAAGCCATGTACATGCTCAGCTCCTTTGCTGCTCTGTAAATGCCCCACACAGGTGTTGTAATTATTTATTACTGCAGTGTCTAGGAGCGCCAGCCATGAACCAGGACCCTGCCGTGCTAGATGCTTTACAAACACAGAACTAGAAGACAGATCCTGCCCCTTACAGTCTGAGACAAGAGAAAACACTGAGATGATATTGGTCAGCATGTTAGGCAGTTGTCTAAACCCACCAGCAGCAGGTTATGAGGCCCTTGTGGTCACAATCTATCAGGGCCATCCCTAGGAGGGTGCGGGGTCCGGGGCGGAAGTGACGAATCCGTCACTTCCAATTGTGCCGACCTGTGGGGCCCCACAAAGCATAGGGTCCAGAGTGGTTGCCCTGATTTGCCATACCCTAGGGACAGCTCTGCAAGCTATCCTACTTTGAATGCTACTGAATTTCCATGTGACACATTGCCATGGAAATCAATGGTTGCTCAGAGAACTCCACCAGTGGCTCCTAAGAGGTTTACTAAAAAGACTGACTTCATTTCCAGCTTCCTTCTCTATCCTCCCACAGTTGGGCCTCCCACAGTTGGGGGTTGGCAGAGCTGTGGTGTGGGTGCCCCATCAGCAAATAGGTAGTTTTTCTATTCGCGCCCCCCCCCCAAATGACAGTTAGTTCTTTCCAACCTTTAGGGCCAACTTATGCACCCGTGCATCCCCTGGGGACACAGTCACGTCTTTCCGAGCCCACTGAACACAATGTGATGGGACTCAGGCTGGGGTTTGGCCTGCAAAATCTTACTGGGGGTGACCTGTGAGCGGGAAAGAACCCAGTTTGATTTTCAGCTGCTGAGCTGCAAGAGCAGAGCTGATCATTGCCCGTCCTCGCCATCCCCTTCTTTGTACTGGTACATTGAGAAATAATGGAATGCCGCAGTGCCGTTTTTATTGAGTCATTTTCTGAGCAGAGCTTTAGCATACACAGATGTGTGTGTGTGTGTGTAAATAAATCAAAACCAATAAACCAGCAATATACTGTTGGAAGGGGCAGTTAAGATTGGTGGGATCGGAGTCCTTTGCCAACCCACATATGGAGATGATAGAGGAAGCCAGGGTATCTCCCCTGTAGGCTCACAGTATGGTGTACCTTCCCTGTTCCATGCCCCCAGATACATCTGTGGCATTCTCCAGGTGTATGCTTTGGTTGGCTTTGTTTTTCTTTCAGCTGAGTTGTTTTTACAGAGGGTTTTTATTAGTGTTATTATTTGGGATTTTTCCAGAGACCTGTTGCCTTTGGCTATGAGGTGCCTGCAGTTTAACAATGTAGTCTGGTAATTGCTTTTCCCCCACATGGAAATGAAGAAAAGCAGAAGAGGAGGGGGAATGATTTTCCACTTTCTAAGCAGGCTTTACCAACAGCCAGGGTAATTAAAAAAGTGACTGTATGCTTTTAACAATAGGTCTTGTCTGATTTCAGCCAATTCATTTTGAAGAAAAATGAAACAGTTTGTAAAGCAGCCACTCGAGTCTCCTTCTCCATCAGCTTTTCTTCTTCTTAAAATGCCTCCCAGCTTCACTATCTAATTCTGAGGCCATCAGTAGTGGGGAATGGAGAAGATCTCCTATCCCCCAACTATTCTGCTGGAATAAATGGCTGCTGTTATCAGTTCGCTCACAATGCTAGAGTCACATGTCCTCC